CTGCCACAAGGAACTCTGTAGGATTAGTCATTTAACAGTTCATGGAGAATCTTTCCCTGAAGAGCCAGCAGCTAGTTGCTGTGTCATCCTCAAGCTGCAGGAAGACAAAAGGGATGAAAGAGTGGAGAGGAGTGGAGGTCATCCAGAAGAGTAGGTGATGACTGAAATGGGCAGAGTAGTATGCCAATGTTGGGGCCCTCCAGAGTTATACTATGTCCTGATCTCAAAGAAGTCACAGAGCCTTTGTCATGCACAGTTTAGTCCCAAACCTGGGGGAGGGACGATGGTGTTACATTTTTCATCACATTTCATCAAGTTAATGGATCCATGTGAAAGGGAAATTTGAACAATGGCTGTGAGTATGGTTTTTGAATTTAACAAATGTAGGAAGTCCCAGGGAAACTTCTATTCCTATCTCCACAGGTGGCAGAAAGGGGAGGTGGGGATGGAGAAATGGTGCACCATAGCAAAATTCAAGGCTGGGGTAGGGAGTTATGGCTTAGGTGAGATGTTTCCCCATTCAGAATGTGTGGGGAAGACTGGGAATTGTAGTATATTTCCCTGAGCTGTGGGAAGACCCAGGGACCCAGGCTAGACTTCCCAATCATGAGGCCAGGGAGAAAAGACTATATTTCAAAAATACCTTTTTCACTTTGGGACAAGGCTATAGAGGGGCCACACAGAGCAGATATTTTGCAAGGATACACATACATTTATTGGTATAAAATGACGGGCACTCCCTGACTGAGCAGTGAAATTCTTTGATCTACCACTGCCTCGGCTGAAAGACACACAGTCTTTAGAAGCAGTAGAAGCCTACTGTACATATACTGGGTAGGGGGTTGTTGAGGCCGCACTCACCTTCATCCTTAGTGACAGGGACTGCAGGGAAGTCAGGCAGCTGCCTGTGAGGCACAAGACTGTATCTCTGGAACAGTTGTTACAGTTGACACTGGTTCAGCAATTCTGGTGCCATCACAGATGTCCTTCACTGTTCGGGGCACCAGCTTTTCCTTCTGGATATCACAGAAGTGAAGGCTTTCTGTAGTCACATCTCTCCACCCTTGCCAATGTCCTCCTCCATATGCCTCCCTCCTCCACTGTTTTGGGCCAGAAGATGAGTTGAGCTAGAAATTGTGGCTAAGTGATGTTTTCTCCTGACAGGATCCTGAGCTGCTTTTCATAAAATGAGCACACCGCCCTCTCATAACACTCAGTTTATATCTCATACCATCTTCAGGTCCTTTGTATGTCATCTTGAGGTCCTCGATTCTTTGCTGGTACTGGCTGGCTTCCTATTCATATCCTCATAATGGTGTTTGCATCACTATTCTTGTGTAGACAACTTTGCTGAGATGGTTTCCAAAGTGTCTGCTGCACATCCAGCACAACACAGATGGCCAGGAGGTCAAGGATCAACTTGTACCTCCAACTCTGTGACCAGTGCATACAATGCATCTCAGTTCTTTGGTGGGTTTTCATTATGTATTTTGGTGGGCTTCCAGTATGCATTTTGTTTGCCAAACTGCAAAGGACAATGATCCAGCATAACTGAGGTGCTATCACCCCTTCACACTTCCTTTGCATAGGGAAGGGTCACATGGTATGTCCATTCCTCAGGAGCAGTTAAGAGAGTTGACAGGTGGGGAGAGGGGGCAGGGTGGCTGTGGTGGTGAAATGCAAAGCACAGTGCAATTATTTCCGGCTAGCCTTTCCACTACTCCAGACAATGGTAGTGGATGCACAACACATACACTGGTATACATTTCTCCAATGTAAATATACTTCTTCTATCTTTGTCAGTTGTAACTTTATATTAGAGTTACTCTTCCTACTCTTAATTTAAAGAGTTGGTGCTTAAAGAAGCATAGAACTTGGTATCAGGAAATTTTCTTTAATCCTAGTGAACTGAACAGAATACTACAGACTCCTCCAATTTACTATCTACCTAAAATACACAAAAACCTTGTGCTAGATGTTATTTAAGAATTTTAGAATTGCTGTTAATTTTTCCTTTTGTTTTTCATAACTAAAACTTACTTTTTCCAGAAAGGCTGAAGTGTATTACTTTATTTAAGAGAATTCCACCAAGAACTGATGCCTTTCCAAAACTTCCTTTGAAATGTCCCTTTGCTCTATGGGAACTGAAGATACAAAGCTTCACGACCTGTCTTCAAATGAGGCGTATTAGAATAATGCTGTGCCTCACCTAGAAAGCTAGTTCTGAAGTACCAGAATCTAATACAACTGCAAAAGCGCACACTGGGGTTTCTTTTGATTTCTAATCCCTTAGACACAAAATGCTAGATATTGAAAAGAAATTAAATGAAGGCCACCTTATGCCTATTTTGCAGTGTTGTTAATTCTCACAATATTATCACAAGTTGCATGATAATTGGTACTTTCCTCAAAACCCAGAGTTCCTGGAGATTTATGATGATACATAAGAACACAGCACTTGAAAGGGCCTGCCCTGAGCCATCAGGTATGGTCCCTTTTACTCATAGGCAACCATTAACCCAAAGGATCCCCAAAATGGCCATTTTAAACCCTTAAACACAAGTACAAAGCACAGTACTTAAAACATCACATAGCATATCATTGGTAAAAGAAGAGGAAATGCAGACACCACCAATATCTTGCTATTACAGTGACAGGGAAGTAATGGATTAATATATTCTTAGAAGTTTCTAGGAACAAAAGGTCATGCTACATGTTACAGAGCAGTGGGAATGAAGGTTTTTGGCAGGCATACCACAAATTAGCTCCTAGTGTCACTCCAATCCCCTTCCTCCGCCCGATTTGCTGCTCTGCTTGATGCTCCCTGCCCTGTGCTCCCTGCCTTATCTGTTGCTTTGCTTTCTGTTTCCTTCCCTTTGCTCTCTGCTCAATTTGTTGCTCCACTGTCTTCTTACTGCTCTACCTGCCACTGTGCAGCCTGACCCCTCATCATTTTGTTGTGTGCCACACAGAAGACTGTCCATGCTACTTGTGGCACCCCCACTGTAAGTTGGCTACCCCTGCTACACAGGAACAAAATCCTTCTCCCTTCCCCAACAACTCGCACACAAACGTGCCAACCTGACCTAAGTAGACAAATAAAACACTGTAGCCAGGAACCTCTGAGCTTTCTAAGTACTGGTAGGAGCATCAGCACACCCCAGCAAAGCTCCTCAGCCTTGTGGGCAATGTTCCTAAGGGACCTAAGTGTAGTACGTGGCTTACAACCTGACACCGTGGTCATATTGTCATACTCAAAGCCCATATCAGGGCCTCACCATGAGGCCCAGCACACAACATGCTCAGTCAGGCTAACATCCAGGCGAATCCAGCTGGTTGGTCCATGGAACGGGTGTAGGGGAGGTGGAGCCCCAGGAACATCCACTGACAATACCTCCCATCAAGTCCCAACATGGAGGGAACCCCCCACTCTTAAACAGAACAGCTAGATGTGGCGGGCAAGTATTGGGGGCTTCTGTGGGGAGGAGATATACAAACAGCGAAAGTGCCCAAGAGAAACCAGAGGCAGAATAAGAGTAACTGATCCTCAGCCGCTCGGGAAAGGCTACATGAAGACTGATGGGTACAGTTTTTAATAGATTTCTGGTATGTGTTCATTCTTGTGCACAGTTGTTTGATCTTACAGCTGAACCTCCATAAATGTAATATATCTTATCCAATACAACAGATGCCCTGACAGAAAATATGTAGGAAAGACCAAACAACTGGGCACCAGAATGAACACACACGGGAATCTATTAAAGACAAGAATACCCAATTACCTGTGCAGGCACATTTCTCACAAGAAAACCACTCTCTCTCCAATCTCTCAGTTCTAATCCTCAAAGGGATTTTACAATACACTTTTCACAGACAAGCCTATGAACTTCACTTCATCAACCTCCTGGATACAAAAAATCATAAGCTAAATATAGACATCAGATTTATGACACATTATAACCTGCCTGACATCTGATTCCCCAGGTACCTCTCCACTATTTACCTACTACATTCATCCCCTCTCCCCCCACTGCACCCCTCAGCCTGTCTCTCACCCACTGACTCCTCAATTTACATCTTTACTGACTGGCTGTCTTCCATGCATACCAGCCTCTGGTTTCTTTACTATTCATTCTATCCAGGAAGAGCACACATCAACTGCAGATGCTTCCTCAGCCTGACAAAGGGTTTTTAAATCCAAAAGCTTGCTAAGAAATGTTTTTCCAACTATTTAGTTGGTCTAATAAAAGATATCAGATTTACCTTAAAGAACCTTGTCTGCAATATATGACTAAATATTTTATAATAAATTAGATTCACCCTATACAATTCAATCAGCAGGGTGGCATAATACATCAATGTCAGGTCTGGCTCAAAATTCCTTTCTTTTTCCTTTCTTGTTTCTGGGAAAAAGTATCACAGGTCCTAAGGTGAGAAGGCAGAGAACAGGGGCCATGCATTCAATACTTCCCCATTCCTACATGCATCTACATCGGGGTGGGCAATTATTTTGGGCGGAGGGCCGCTTACTGAGTTTTGGCAAGCCATCGAGGGCTGCATGACAGGCAGCCCAGGGCAGATTAATATTAATTTTCTAAATTTTTAGGGGCCCCATGGGCTGGATAGAATGGCTTGGCAGACCGCATCCAGCCCACAGGCTGCATTTTGCCCCCCCCTAATCTACATGCTCATAAAAGGGAGATGAAGTACCACATGTGCAGTGCCTACAACCTGCCTTTGAACCCATGATGCAGGATCTTCCTACAAGGCTAAGCAGGGCAGTGGGGTTGGTTTTTCCTTGCCCTAACTCTCCATGTACAGCCATGTTGCAGTGACTCACAGTCTGTCTGAATAAATGTATTTAGAATCTAAAGAACATAACTGACAAAAATCACATAAATATTTAGAGAAATGAAATCTTAAAACTACTGGATTCCACAGTTCTTATGAATGTCTTGATATTTCAGACTGAGGCAGAAACAAAAGTGTAAAATCCTTACCTGAAATTGACATGCGCATTTCAAGCCATCACCTTCTTCTTTACATATTCCTCCATATTTACATGATGATTCATCACACACTCGTGCATCAGATTCCCTTACATTTAGTTCTGTAAAAAATAGATAATGCACAATGACTATTTTTGCTATAATCATACAAACTTTAACTTTAAACCAATAATTTTTCCAAGCAGAAATTAATGTAAAAATAACTGTTGTTCTCCATCTGCAGTGTGGCAATTGGTTACCAATCTATTTTAGGTGGTAACTTCATTTCCAGACAAAAGTCTCCAGAACAGGCACACCTGTAAGCCACCAGTGCAGTTAACACACTCCCTATTATCAAGGACACAAGTTCCCCTGGTTAAGATTATACCTGGTAGAGAATACACATCAAAAAATATGTTGCTTATGTCTCTTATCCCTATAGCCCTTCCACTTCTCTTATCACAAAAACCTGAAGAGAAGCTGTGCTGTGTGTACCAGGCAGGCTAGGTATTCTTCAGAAAATGTGTGACCTGAATTCCTGTCTATCATGTAAGCCACACTGGTTATTCAGACTGAAAACAAAAAAGGGGGAGGATCTCAGATGGCTCTATCTATGGATGTGGAAGAGGGGTTCGCAACTTACAGCCCATGAGCCAACCTGCAGACCCTTTTGATTTGACTTACGGACATGGGGCCTCAGTGGCACTGGGCAGTGTGGGGCTTTAACAGCAGTCACTTTCCCCATGCTGGCAGAGAGAAAAGTGGTGACTGCAGGAAGAAGTGGCAGTGGTGAACATTTGTGCAGCAGACGAATTGGGCTTTTGAGTGTTTCCTAACAGACAAATGGCATGAAATAGCTGCACTGTGGTGAGAAAGCTCCCTGATACCTGCTGGAAGGAGGCCCCTTTACTCATCAGTAGGCATCCCGGTTTTCCGTTTCCCACGGAAAAAGAGAAAACCACGGATTCCCTGTTTTTATCGGAGGAAATGCAGGTTTCTCTTTTTAGCAGAGAAATCTGTGGATTCTCTGCTTTTGCAAAGAGCTCTTGCAGGCTGGCACAGCTCCAGCCTGCAGGAACCATTTGCAAATAGGGTGGGAAACCCCCAGCCCTGGCCAGAGTGGGAAGGCGGGGCCTGAGCCTCTGAGGCAGCCAAGGCTGGGCTCTGGCTCAGACTCACCCTTCGCCCCTGGAGGTAAGTGGGGATGTGAGGCAGGGCTGGAGAAGATGGTTGGGGGCTGAGGGAGTGGCGGGTGCTGCCGGCCCCATGAGGCACACCGCTGCTAGGAGCAGGGCCAGGGGGTGAGGACAGGGGTGACCCTCTGTGGAGGGGCTTTCTGGGAAAGCAATGCGGGGCACAGTGCGGTGGTGCCCGGCCACATGCCCAGGGGAGGGGGAGAGGGAGGCTGGCATGCGGCCGGAGCACAGCTCCATGGCCAGCTCTGCAGCCACGGTGAGGGATGGGGGTGCAGGAGGCACTTGGGCTTTCACACAGCGCTGCCGCTTACCTGGAGGGCTGTGACGGCGGTGACGGCGGCTGCCTTCAAAACCTCCTGCTGCTGCCGCAGAGCTCTGCTCGGAGCTGTGCGGCCAGCCATTGGGTGGCAGCATGGTGGTGGCCAGGCAGCACACAGCCACCCCCACCACCATCCCGCATGCTGCATCACTGCCACCGGCCACACAGCTCTGAGCACGGCTCTGCGGCGGCAGTGGGAGGTTTTGTACACAGCAGCAGTCGCCACTGGCACAGGTGGCCCCACAGGTAAGCAGCAGAGGCCACCCATGATGGTGGTGACTGCCGCTGAATACAAAACCTCCCGCTGCTGCTGCAGAGCTGTGCTCAGAGCTGTATGGCCAGTGGCAGCAACGCAGTGCGTGGGGTGGTGGTGGTGGGGATGGCTGCCACCCCACAGAACCATGCAGCCGGCTGTGGAACATGCTGCTGCATGCAAGTCCTGTTTCACCCCCCGGCTGGGTGGCACATATGTGGCCTACACATGGTTGTTGCCACCGTACTGCTGCTGCCGTGCCCTATGCCACTCTCCCACAAAGCAGTGCAGGTGGCCGTGGGATAGCGCAGGATGCAGTGGCAGAGTTGCGGTGGTGGCCACTGTGTGTGAACCTCCTGTCAGGCTGGCCGACGTGTGTGGCCCACAGAGTGGCACCCCTGCCCTCACTCCCAACCCCGCACCTAGGAGTGGGCACAGGGGCACACTCCCCTCCTTCTCGATCTACGCCCCCAGCACCTTCCCTTTCCCTTGCCCTTCCCCCCCAACACACACACTTACCTGCCGGGGTGGGTGTCAGTGTCTGTGTCTGCATGTCTGTGGATCTGGGGGCTGTTGCGAGGGGCATCAGGAGGGCTATTGAGACTGTGGGGGGGAGTGTGGAGCACCTGCAGTTCTGGGAGGGGCTGTGGGGTGCCTTTAATTCTTATCACAGATTTGGGGTTTTTAATCAGAGAATTTGCAATTGTTAATCAGAGAAAA